CACTGCCCTACTCCCGCTCCCACCCCCTCTCTCACACACAGACACACTGTGAGTCTGTTGTTGTTGTTGTTGTAGTAAAGGAAATTATCAATTGTTTGATATTGGCTCATGCATTTTCTTTAATTGCCATAAACAATTGATACATATTTGTTTATTGGCCAGCGTTTATTTTTACACAAAATCGTATTTTAGTTTTTGTTCGATATATTCTTATAGATATAAACAACATTGATCTATATGTAGAGAAGGAATGAATACATATTTTTAACAAGTTGGCACGTGCCGCAGCTAAATCTGAACATTTATTTATGCAGCGCCACAGCTTACGTACTATATAGATATATAAACAGAGAGACAGACAGTTAGACAGTTTTATACATAGATATTGTCTATGGATGTCTGCAGCATCCATTCAATGTTTTGAATTAAAATGTTTGTTTTTATTGCCTTATATTATCCATGTTGTCTTATTTTGCATGCTGCTGCTGCTGCTGCTGCTGCAACAACACGAACAGCTGCTGACTGGGTGGTCCGCAATGTCCAGACTCTGGGGAGCAACAGCAACAGCAGCGAAAGAAGGCACGTCTGGCATTGCTTTGGCAATTGTTGTTCGAATGGATTGTGACCGTGTGTTTATTAATTTCTTGCGCCAATTTGTCTACAAAAATGTTGTGAAATGCTATGCAGAGCTAGCTGGGAGAGGGAAAAGGAAAATCAATGGAACTGGGAGCAAAATTTGAGCGCTTTTTTTTTTGTCAGGCACTGAGATTTTTTTTGGGGAAATTTTAATCATAAATATAGCTTGAGACTGAGATTTATTTTGGGGAAATTTTAATCATAAATATAGCTTATGTTTCTATATGTTCAAGCAATTATCTATGAAAAGGCTTATAGCTTAATTTGTAGATTCTCTAATATCCATTTACTTAGGCCTACTGTAATATGATTAAAAAATTATCCTTCAACTTGGAGAATATGACAAGAATATTTATTTGAATATATCCTTGGTCAGCAAAGCAAGATAAACTTTAATAAACCTCATTTGTTCATCAGTCAGCCTCGATTATATCAAATAGTTATATCTTGTACTGTTAACTATTAACATATAATCTTAAATATCTGCCCCGTCTGTTTCTCCTTCTCGCTCCCGCTCTCGTTCTCAAATCCATTTCCTGCAGTTGCAGTCATTAATCTTCGTTCAGCGGCAGCCTCGGGCTATGCTAAACTTCAGCATAACAATTAACAGCTAGACAAGCGCTTAAAGTACTTGAGAATTCCAATTGCTTTGTATTTTCACTCTGCTTGCCTCATTTAGTTGGAGGAATTACAATCTTTAACCGAACAGCTAGTAAATCCCGCTCTATACCGAAATCAATATTAAGTCTAAGACTATTTATAGTCTTGCAACCAAATTAGGGAATAGAATGGACGACATCAACAAATTATAATAATTATGAACACGAACGTGTCATGGATGGGGCGCGTTTGGGGGATCACTCAGAGGAAGAGCCTGTCGAAAGGATTGCACATGCGCCACCACAAATAAAACGTGTGTTCCGTTTGCCGTCTGCTGGGCAAGGGGGAGGCAAGCGTAGCTAAAGATGCCACAGACAGACAGCAACTACACATATGTATGTATATATGTAAATCTGTATGTCTTATGTATTTGCTTAAGTGCATTTCCCCAATGCTACCTACAGCCAAATGCCACGTAGAGCACGCGTGAGTTGGGCCAGAGAGATTTGCTATGGGATTATATGTGGAAGACTGCTCAGTTTACTAATTGCTTCCGCTACTGCAGAGGCTACGGCAACGGCTGCTGCTGCTGCTGCTACGGCTGCTGCTTGAAGTTTTTAGGGGTCTAGAGATTCATTTTAATTGCATTTCTTTTAACGGTAACATCAGCCAGCCCCCAGCCCAGACCCAGTCGGCTGCAGCAGCCGATCCCTGAGTCAACGTATGGTCGCTCTGTCGGCTGTGTTGCTCTGCTTTAGCTCGGTACCGTCGCGATGGCGGGACGGACGGACGTTGCCCGGACGGCGACGTCAATAACATTTGTGTCTGCACACAGGCACATGAATATATATATGTATGTATATATGTGTGTGTGTGTAATGTAGTTGCGCTCAATAACAAAAATCAAAGGAAATATATATAAGGCAGCATATACCTACATATGTATGTATGTATGTATGTATGTATATATGCTTAGCTCTCTAGTTGTATTCCCTATAGCAAAGATTTGATCGCAATGGAGGTGAGAAATATACACAGATGCAGAGATACATGCACACACACACACACACACACACGTTTAGCAGTGATCATAAAATGCATTTCCACATGGAATGGGGAGAGAGCCACTTGAGCTGTATTTGAGCTAGGCAAGGAAGCGGCTAAAGGATGTGCATACTTGAGCTATGTCGAAACGCTGGCAGACAGAGGAAGCTGTAAACGGGAAGACAAATAAGAGCGCCTCACTCTCCCTCTCTCTCTCGCTCTCTTTGTGTGTGTATTTTGTCTATCATTGACTTTTTGGCACATATACGGTTCATTTGACGAGCCGAATTGGAGGCGCTGCCATGTGCTGTATGCCAGCAATAATAACAACAACTACAACAACAACAACAACAAAGTGTGCACACATGTTGCGTATGTTGTTCTTATTTTCTGTTTTTTTTTTTTCTTGGCTAGATTTTCAGCATAGTTTTCCCTGCATTTCGTTTTTTCGTTGGCAACATAAAACTAACAGCTGATTGAGCAAGCACTATATATATCAACAAATATATGTATATATGTACCTATAATTATGCGTGTGTAAGTGTGCGCAGGATTTGGTTTGAGCTGTGTATAAAAATATCCGTCAACAGCTGAGCCACTGACGTCACACGAAACGCTGGCGGAGTGTGAAACAACAGCTGGCAATTGATTTTTACGTATACATTTACATATTTATATTTGTATTAATGTATATATGTTGTATATATTATATGTGCTACGGCTATCTAAAGTGTTCAATGTAGTTAATTATTGCTAATGCTACAACGGCTCAAACTTAATCTCATGTATTAACATTAACATTAACATTAACAGCAATAGCAATAGTAAAAGTAGTTCTTGTATGTATGCAAATATACATATCATGTACGTACTGTTACTATGCTGTTAATGCTAACGCGTATATTGCTGTTAAACTTTTCTGTTAATATTGTATTACTTCTCTTAAGATTTCTAAAAGCATTAGATTTGTACATATATGTTCTTAATTTTAAAGTTTATGTCAGTGCTCGATTCGCTGTTACCATAATTACTGCTGTTAATGCAACAGTCCGATATTAAGAGAAAGCTTAACAGCCATATAGTTAAGCTTTCTCTTAATATCGGACTGTTAGGATTTCTAAGAACGTTGCATTTGTTAATGCTGTAAAAATTAATGTTTCTGTTACTTTTGGGATTGCTGTTATTATTGCTATAGCTGTTAACTTTCAATATAAATAAATTATAATAATTATAGAGCTCTATCAATCTCTAAGATTTACAATACTGTTGAGCAAATAAATGGTAGTAGTTAAATAAATTAAATCGCCGTCTGAGAGCAGATCTCCAATTCCAAGATGATATGACTTTTGGCCCTGAAAGGCAAACATATTTTGCATAAAGTTTATGAACATTTCATGGATGTTTTATTAAGAAAGCAGCGCACGCCAACGAGAAGCTGTTACGCTAATGTCCCTAATGCCACATCAGTCTTAATACACAGACACTGCGCAAGTTTCTTATGCCCTGATGCTGTGCAGAACAGAACCGAACGAAAGTTGAATACCAGATATGCATGTCTGCTCGTCTGTCTGACTTTCCGGCTGGCTTTTTGGCATAAAGCGAGACAAGCCAAAGCCAAGGCTGTCAAAGAGCGCCTCATCATGAGCTCTGAGCTCTGAGTGCGATTGCGAATTGTGAATTGCAAGTTGGCTTGGCAAGATTTATGGTATCCTTTCAACTTTAAACTGGCATTGCGCAGAGCTGACAAATGCCCCTCGCCAAGTTTGAACTCAGGCACTCTCACTCTCTCTCTCTCTCTCTGTCTCTGTCTCTGTCTGTATGTTACTAAGCCAGCTCAAGGGGGGGGCGCTCTGCTCAACTCTTTTAGAGCTGCTCGGCTTGCGCTACCCTCTTTGCAGGAGGTTACAGCCAACGCGTGTGCATTGAACTGATCGTCATAAATCGCGTGCTTCAGCTGCCTCTTGCTGCTGCCTCCATCTGCTGCTTTCCTCTCTGCTGTGTTTGGGGGCGTTCAAAACGCTTCGACAGTCAAGATTAATTGGCTGCGCCAGTGTTGTCATGACGATAGAATGTGCTTAAATGCTGTTATTGTATTCATTTCACTTCACAATGTTGGACTCTCGATACCCTGGAGCTGGTGAGCTAAGCGATGAGGTAACCAGAGAGCAAAGTCTAGCTGAGTAAGAGATGTAGGTTTCCGATGAATCAATTAGAGATAATGGGTTACATCAAATGAATTCGGCAGGAGATCATGATGCTCCTTAGTTTAACTGTTATTATTTTATTTTATTGTTGATGTGGCTCATCGTGCTGATCAGGAATCTATTTATATTTTATTTAATGGGAAAATATACCTGAAATTTGGGCAACAATCGAGTCAGCTAAAGCTAAAGCGACTTTATCCTACATCTATGTATAGGGTATCTTTTAGTCCTGCAAAGCTGCAACTTTTACAACTCATATCAAATATGTATATATATTTTTACATTTAATAATCATCTGATATATGATTTATAACAATTTATTCATTTACAGCCGTCTACAGGGCATCTATTGGTCCTTCATTCACGCTTTAATCACAATTGCAATCAATTGTAATGCTATATTTTATCATAATTTACAACAACTACTACAGGTCATCTCTTAGTCGTTCACTTAGCACTCTTCTCAACTTGTTTCATTTACTAACTCTCTATTTTCTTATTGTTTTCTTTTTGCAGCAAAACTTTTTTGTACCTGTTCGCTAAAGGCAAACTTTAATAAGGTAAGTGTGCAAAGAGGTTGCTCAATTCCCAGTTTTCCTTTTCAATTTTTCCGCTGGCAGTTTTCATTTCTTATAACGGCGAAATGAAAAGTTTTTTATTTTATTTATTCTTTCTCGTTGTTGTTGTTGCTGTTGTTGAAGCTTAACTTGAAACACTGAGCACGTGCCGCGTATTATGCTGCATCCAGTGTCTCACTTTCGCTCTGTCTCTCTCCTTGTCTCTGTTTTTGTATGCGTGTTGTGTTTGCTCACAAGGAAAATATTTACACTCAATGGAACATAATAAAGACATTAAAAATATATATCACATATTATGTGTGAGGCGATGGGCAACAGGATGCGATTGCAAGTGATGCCAAGTGTGTGTGGGTGTGTTTACACGTGTGACGATATGTATGTGTGTGTGTGTCGCTGCTGTCTGTCTGGCTGCGTGCCAATTTTCAATGTGTGCCTAAGTGTCATACTTACCGCTCTCACGCTCCGTCTCTGTCTATCTACCTCTACCTCTCTCTCTCTCTCTCTCTCTCTCTCTCTCTCTCTCTCTCTCTCTCTCTCTCTCTGCTGTCCTGCCCAGCGATGCGTGTGTTTTCTTCTCGTTTTTTCCATCTTAGTCTCTCTGACTCCTTCTCTCTCATTGCTGCTCTCTGCGCTTGTAACAGTTTAAGTTTCTGTGAGCTTTACTTACCGCATACAGGTGTATATCTACTTGTGGGATTCTTTGCTGTCTGTCTGGCTGCGTGCGTGTGTGTGTGAGTGTGTGTGTGTGTGTGTGACAGACAGCCAAGCAAAATGGCATCGTCATAATGATTGATATGCCTGCTATGTGTAGCTGATTTCAGAATGATTGCCAGATGTCTCGCCCTCTCTCACTCACTCACTCACTCGCTCCTTCTCTCTCTCCCTCTCTCTTAGTAAATTGAATTACAAATAGCTCGCTTTGTGTGGTTTGAGCTTATGCAACAGATTATGAATTATATATATTAAAAATATATAGCAAGCTGTTGAGGTAGCTTATATAATGTCTCTATTTATATAGATTTCGTATATATGTGTATACATAAATATATTTAACAAAAAGCAAACTTTAATTTACTGTAATTAAACCAATTAGCATCAAGTTTATAACGGACTGGAAACTGTTTTCACTGTACATTGAAAACTTTTCCCTTTTGTCCTTGAACTAATGAACGCAACATGAAAAGACTTTTATTGCTGTCGAAATATGTGTGTATATATATACATATTTTTATGTATATGGATATCACTTATTTAAACCGATTCACGTTCAAGAGCTATCAATGAATATTGCATGATGAAACAATTTTCGGATGGCAGAAAACCGTTAAAGGACATCACTTATCCGCGTGTCCAAATCAATTAATGTCCTCCAGCTCAATAAACTTCAACCGTCTGTGTGTGTGGGTGTGTGTGTGTGGCATCCATTTCAATTATAATTTGTGGCACAAGTGTGGTTATGTGTGTGTGTGTGGGTTGTGGGCAGCATAAACCTTTTTTAGTGCAGCTTGTGTCCTTGCCAAGGCATTTGCATGGAATATTTGTCAGAGAACTTTTATTTGTCATTTGTGCGCTGTCACCTGGCTCAATGGCAGCAAAAATGGGTTGAAAGATTGGCCAATAAACTGGGCTTAAATGTGGCTAAATGTGGAAACAAGTGGCACTAGCATTGAAACTACCTTTCAGCATTTACGCTATGGATTTAGATAGATATCTCCACGTAATTCTCTGGAGCAGTTCAAATTTGTTTGCTGTTAACTAATTCAGTTGCAGCGGGAACAATGGGACAGAATAATAGAGTAGGTTGCTCTATGTGTCTGTGTGTAAGTGTATGTGTGTGTGTGTGTGTGACACGCTTACCTTACCTGTCAGGGCCACGTTTTCTGGCCACTTTAACAGCAGCCATGGCAGCAGCAGTCGCCGACGCCGACGCCGACGCCAACGCTGCTCATCATTGATGCAAACAGTGAAATGCTTTCACCGCTCAGCTGACGCGAGCACCAGCACAGCACAGCCCAGCCCAGCCCAATTCTCCCCCCACTGACTGTCGCACACACACACACACACACACACGTGTTAACGTTGCCTTATTGAAGCTGACAGGCTGCCTTTGCCTCTTGTTGCTCTGCGGCAGCGGCTGCCCGTGTTGCCTGTGCTGCGCTCCTCCGCGTGGGCGGGCAACAGCACAAAAGCATTGAGCAAAATTGATTAGATTAGGCAACTCCGGCAAGCGAAACAAACCGTGGAGTATTTATGCCGCAGGAGCTAAAGAGGGGAGCGAGCACTGGAGAGAGGGAGAGGGGGGAGGGAGGGCTGTGGGGCAGGCAATGCTGGAGGGTGGAGAATCGGTGGCACTTTGGAGTGTGCCTCCTTGTTGCACGTTTAGCAACGCTTCAGTTGACAACGGAGACACAACATTTTTGTTTGTTGTCTAAGAAAATATAATTTCTATGTGGCTTTTTCATGCCACCGATACGGAGATTGAAATGGGGTCTGTAATGGGGTATAATGAGCTGAAGGTAACGCGTGTCACAGTAATGGGTAATCAGAATAATGTATAAAGGCTGATTAGAAGATCAAGCTGTGGCTGTTGTAGTTTGTTGATTGTAGTTGGAGAGCATGGGAAACATAGAGATGGAAAGTAAGTATTTATATAGAGATATACATATAAGATCGGATGACTGATCGTGGAACTTAAGATCGTGGAAATAGTGAGAAGATACACATTTCTCTGGCAGATGGTTTGAATACTAGGACATCTTCTTTAAAAAAAGAGATGAAAGAAGAAAACATGGAGAAAGAATTAGAGATTCAGAGAAAGTCAGAAGTGTACAAAGACAAACTTAACGCAGAGAGAAAACAAAGGGAAGGTAGAGAAAGATAGATGGATAGAGATAGAAAGAGAGCTTGAAAATGTATAGGCATAGAAAGAGAAATAGGTATTGAGATAGAAGTGGAGAGGTGTGGAGAGAAATAGATAGAAAGAGAGAGAGAGAGAGCAAGATCACTCTAGCCACGTTTTAACATAAGGTAATCGCTTACCTATATAATGCAAACATCATAATAAAGAAATAAGTATTCAATATTCTATTCTATCAATAAATACAGGATATCTGCTAGTCGAGCTTCTGCTTCATGGTACTTATCTGTTATTTGGCTTTTATTTTATATGCCTGTAGGCATTGTCCTTAAACCAGCTTCTAATCACATTTAAATTGCACTCAAAGCGTGCACACACACCAAGCACCCTTGCACACCGTCTCACACACCCTCTCACACACCCTCTCAAACACCCCCTCACTCCCACTGTGAGTACGCCCCCGTTCATATTTGTGATGAAACGATTGAGAGTTTAAGCGCCTTTTAAGACATGCGATTGAAATGTAATTAGGCAATGCTAATGCTTCGATCCTTTTGGGGGTTGTTGTATCATCTTCAATCAGCAGCATCCGAGCTTTTCATTCAATTTGACACAGAGGCCAAAGTAATTACGGGCCTAATTGCTTTTGTCGCTGCTTCTTTATTTGCACTGCATGAGCGCAAGTTGGTCAAATGGAATTGAAATTGCCCAGCGTATTGAGATATATTGGTATTAAGCCAGGTCTTATTGTATTATTATGGAAATTGTAAAGAATCTGCCGAAGGAAACCGTAAGGCAAAAAGGTTTTTGCTAACAAATCAAGTGGAAGCGCTGAAATGTCTTTCCAATAACGCAATTCTAGGAAGAAAATATGAATATAAATTTTCATTAAAAGAAAAGTTTGTTAAGCTGGAAATTGCAATTTTAAAGGCTTTTGATAGGCGAAAAGGTAGGAGATAGAAGATAAAAATAGACAAATAAATGTTGATAGATCATAGATGGTAAATAGTAGATGATAGATCATATATAGTAAATAATTGATAGATAATAGATGATAGACGATGGCTTTCAAATTATAGATCCTCAGTTATAGATAACAGAGCGATAATAGATGACATATATAAGATATGAATCTTGGTAAATTAGAAATCTCAAATGAGAGATTAACGATGGGAAAATACGAGTTGGAGGATCGTAGATCAGATACGCATTATATCATATTTCATTCTTGAGCTTCTAATGCTTTATAGATTTTTTTTATAGATAGCAATAAAATAGGCAGTCTGATATTTTCTGGAAGTTATGTTAATACACCATCTCAGCATTAAAGACTTTTTGGAACGGAAATCTCATGCAGTTTAATTTACATGCAAAGCAATACATCATCATTATTATTATGTTAAACGTCATCATCGGCATCAACTTAATTTTCGTGTTGTTCAACTGCACTTGAGAGTAATGCGATTTGAATGAAATTTTGATGTGAAACTACCTACGCAGCGTTTACAACAACAACAACAACAAACGTAAAGAACTTCACGTGGCTTCGGCAACTAGCGCTGATAATTGTTGTTGTTGTTGTTGTTAGTCTTGGTTGGGGTGCGCCTCTGCGTGGTGGCTAAAGGCAATAACAACACTCACACACACACATACACACACTGAGAGAATCGTTTGCAGCCGCGCTTAGCGCAAAGGATGAATTTGTTGGAATACTGTGGAAAAGCGCTTAAGTGCCCGATGCGCGGCTGCCGATGTCGATGCCAGGGGCCGTCGCATTCAAAGTCGGACTCAACACATTGCCACAGAGTGCGCATGTGTCGCCGCATGTTGCACATGTGTGTGCAGCTAAACGTTACGGCGAACTGCCTCTGGACATGGACATGGCCTCAGCAAAGGGACGCGGAACGGGACGGACGGACGGACGGACGTTGCGCGAAATGCATCCAACGGCGTTTATTGAATCTGAAAGAGTGGAAGGCGCAGAGGAAGATGAAGACGAAGAAGGCGAAGGCGAGGGCGAAGGCGACTCTGGCAGTTGTCGCCAGCCACTGATGGCAGGGTGTTAAAAGTCACAAGGACACACGCACATGCAAACGCATGCGGCTGCTGCTGCTGCTGCTGCGGC